GGTTTAGGTGTGGATAAGACATATGCCCTGTGAAATGTTGGTCAGGACATATGGACAGAAAGTGATGCAAACAGGGAGATTGAAGAGAGTACTAATGGCATGGGTGAGGGTGCAGATAAGGGACAGGAGAGGAGTTACAGGGCAGTGCCAGAGCAGGAAAGGTAGACACTCTATATATATATAAGATCTGGCACTTGGTGGCCACTGGACATTGGGGAAGCCTGGGCCTCTGTTTCCGTAGCTGCAAAATAACAGCAGTGATTAGGTTCCATGATTATATGAAGGCAGGAAGGAGCTGATACATAGAACATAAGTTCGATATAGCTATACAATTTACCCCTTTAAATCCACCATTGAAATCTTTAAAACCAAACAGTAATTAGCTATCCCACTATTAATTACTTTCTGGCCACTCATCAGCTAACACCATGTCAGACTCCTTCAGCAAAATGTCTTTTTCATAGCTGAGGACTGTTTACAGTAAGGACAATTGGGCTCATTTAGTCACTGAGACACTGATTATGCATTTATTGTCTATTCTAGTCAGTTATATTAAATAAGCTCTTCAGTCTTCATCAGAGTATTATGCTAATATGCTTGTGATTTTTGGAGAGTACTATACCTTCATACACTTATCCTGCCTAGCAGCAGCCTGGGCTCAGTCAATATTGTCACATGCAGACAATTATAATCAAGGCATAAGGCCCTATTTTTGACATATGACTCTCAAGTTATCCCCCCACCTGAGAACTTTAAATCATTTATATATCATTCAGGATTTAGACCTTGGCATCTGTTACATTTTTTCCCCCAAATATGTAATTTCAGATAACATTTAAATGACTTTATGGGAATACTTATGGTATTGAAATTTTAAGTTCCCAAGTAATATCTGAACAATCATTAGTTAACAATAATTATACAATGATCAACTGATCCAATGATTTAACTGTATAGACAAGAAATGTAACATTTACTATCAGATTTCTGGAGGATGAGAAATATAACTTGTTTTTGCCAAGTATTTTTCTCTCAGCCAGAGCCAACCTCCCTCTCAATCTCTCTAAAAAAACCTTACTTACATGTCGTTTCTTGAGTAATTTGGCCATAGAATGCGGATTTTCTAACATCAACTAATGCTTTTATGATCAGCATTTAATAAATACCTGATAAACACTTGAATTTAATTTTTTTCTTGTATATATTTTATTCTGTCTCCCAACATTTCCAATTAGATGTTATATTTTTATTTTTAATAAAAACTAGCATGTGAATAAGGGTGATGTATGAATATAGAGGCAGGTGTCCACATCTTCAACATTAGTTCATTTAAAACATGCAGTTCCATTGTATTGAGATAAATATCCAAGGGGTGCTGGATTTCTTTATTATCGTTTACAATAAAAGAAACTCCACACATTTGTTCTCCACAGCTTTTATTTGCGTGATCTCATTTAATGTCTTTTCAGTTGCAATAAACTGGATCTTTAAGATGTAGTAACACTCACTGGGACTTAATTTTACCAAGATGAACAAATACAGAGATTGGACAAGATACTCAATAGTTGTATTGAGGGCAATTATAAACTGGAAGGGTGGTAATGCTGTGTAGAATGCTTGCAGACTTATGACACAAACATAGCATTGTTCTGGTATACAAGTGCTCTATTTCAATTTTGAAGACAAAATTATGTTTTTTTTAAATCTTCAGTTGTGCAAAGACAACTGAGAACAAGATGCTGTCCCTGTCCTTCAGGAATTACAATCTAAGTGGGGAGACAAAACATATACACATGAGAAGTTAAAAAACTGCTCAAGACTAAACTAACAGATCAAGACACATATCAAAGTGAAGTTGTGGTATGTAAATTATTCTGACAGTGAAAGAAAATTTCTAGGTGTGGAATATCCTTTGGGCTGGGATAACCAGGAAGGGCTTTATAGATTTCAGAGATGGAATATGAGTTTTATCTTTTGAAAAAGCAGGACATAAATATATTTTTTTAAAACTTTGAATTACAAAGAATTAATGATGAAATTTTAAGTTTTTCACTCATGACTCCAAGATTCTCTTTCTAGAAGCACCCACCATTATTTACCATTTTTCTTGTGTGTCTTTCCAGTACATTTGAATATTCTTAAATGGTTTTTGAATTGATTTTAATCTGATTTTGCAGTGTCATGTGTCATGAAGGGTTAAACTTGGGTGTCTAGCCACATAAGACTCAACGTAATTTATATAATAGGGACCAGTGATAGGTCTTAAGGTACCCTAGTGGATTTCCAAGTTGAGTGTTGCCACAGCAAGCCCTGCTCCCTCTGCCTTCAGTTTCCTTCCGAACCCACTTTGGTTTAGGTTTAATTCTAGCACAGGGGACACCAGGCATGCTCTTGCTTTTAAGCCCTTTGGGGACTGGACTGGTAGCCAGGTTGTTCCTTGTCAATCATACAGAACCTGGAAGGCTTCCTCAGTGGAAGAATTAGAGATCCAAAGTCTAACACTTTGGAAAGATGGTCTAACTCAGACCTCAAGTATATCCACTGAATTAGGGTACCCCTCTAAGTATCTCACTCCCATATTGGGAACAGATTATTCTAGAATTCTAGCTGGCCCTGATTTTGTTTCTATGTCTACTCACCCACATGGACACCCTGGTCACATAGGAGAAAACATTTGTGTGGCTTTAGGTAGCTTTTTATAGGCCATTTCACATTAAAACTGTTGGCTTGTGTTACCAGGAAGGACAAAAACACCAAAACAGCCTTCCTATTTCTAAATCTAACAGCCTTTACCCTACACCATCTTCCCCCGCTGCTCTAAGAAATGGAAACAGAAGTCTTAAGAGATGGAATGCTGCACCAATTGGCTTTCTGGGTCTCCTTCACAAGATATGTTTTAAAAAGAGGCGAGCAGAGCTGCTTCTAAACTGACAATGGAAGAAACCATCCTGTTTGGTAGGTTCATCTTAGCACAAATGCAAGCAGGCAACAGAAGAAATGGTAACAATTATCAATACTCTTTTAACTTCAAAGCCCTGTGCTATTTATTCACTTTCATATTTACTATTTTATTAAATCATCACACAGGTATATTTAGTTATCATTGTAGGTAAGTTCCACTTACAAAGACCAGATAGAACAGAGCTGCATTCACAACTACAGTTTGTCAACGCCATGATTCATGTTCTTGATCATAACCTTTCTATGAGAAAAGTACTTCAGTGTTTGAGCAGAGAGATGGTGAAAATGAAGATTTTGAAAGGAAATCTGAAAAACCTGTTAAGACTCAGCCAATTATTTTTTCAGGTCCATCTGAAGGTACCCTCCTCAGGGAAGCCTTCATTTCTGCAAAGAAAGAGTGTAAGTCAAGAACACTTACTTTTTGAAATGGTACTTCAGCTTACTCGTTTGCTGCCTCTTTCCCATTAGTTATCTTGAGTCAACAATTAAATCTACACAGTAGAATGAATGCTTGACAGGGAGTGAAGAAAAATATGTTCTAGTCTTGTCTCTGCCACCAATTACCTGTGTGTCACCTATGTTTCTTTTTAACTTTAGTCCTCTGGTATTCCCTGCCTAACTTAGTAAATGCTTAATAAATATTTAATGTGATTAGTTGGGTCCAATATGTCAACAGAGGCCTGGGTGTCCATAAATAAAAGTGACCAGGTTACCCAAGTGCAGTTACGTCCCCATCAGCTTTGGGCAGCCAGCAGCTTAGGGCTGTGTGGTGAAGTTGGTACTTAAAATTATCACTTGAACAGCGGAGAAATGAAGGTAAGAGAAGACAACGCAGCAATTAAGGGGCATCGTACTAGGCGCTTATTTTTTATTCCTTAGAAGGATCATTTAGAGCATGAATTATTAACACTATTCTTAACCGGTTAAACAAAAATACCTGGCATGCTGTACCCTGGCCCTAATGCCCATAAAAGATCTCCGCCCAGGGTTTATTTACATCTTGGACCCCGCCCCCGTTTACCACCACGAGGGCCCCGCCCACTTATTCGCATATGGGCGCGCCCACTGTGGGACGGGTACCCGGGCTTCTAGGGAATCCTCTTCTACTCCAGGTTCGTCCTGTCCTCTGGGCAGCCTCCGGGCCAACCTAGGGGATGAGCACTTATCCTCTCCCGGAGTGACTACGGAAGGTAGCACTGGCGGCGGCCCCCAACAGGCCCCACCCAATGGCGCTGGCGAGAGACCGAGGAGACCCTAGGCTAGACAATAAGCGACGGGTGGTCGCCAGCATGGCAGGTTACAAGCCTTCTCCTCCCCTCCCCTACCCTCTTCCCAGTGCCTCTGGGGTGAGCGCGCCGAAGACCAAGTCAACCGAAACCGCGGACGACCCACCCCTCCTCTTCTGCCGCCCGGCCGCGCCTCTCCTCACGCTCTACGGGAGAGGCGGGACCAATCAGCGAGCGACGTCTCCCTTCCGATTCGAGGCCCCCGACGCGCGGCTCACACCCCGAGCACCGCGCACACTGATTGGTCGTGTGCGCCGCCGGTCCGGCTGAGGGGCGGGCCGAAGGGAAAGGAGGTGGGGAGGTAGTGGCTCACGAGTCTCCGATACCGTCTCACGCCGCGGCTCTTCCCGGGTGCTCGGCCTCCTTCCTTCCCTTCTCCGCTCTCCCTGTCTTCCGTGCGCTCCGAGGATTGCGCTCGGCCGGCGTGCCTCGCGCCCTAACGGGCGACCGGGGGCGCCAATCAGCGGGCGGCAGGGTGCCAGCCCCGGGGCTGCACCGGCGAATCGGCAGGGCTCGCGGCCCGGGGTGGGAGGCGGGTCTAGCGCGCGGCCGCGGCGGCGGCGGACCAGCTCCCAGCCAGCGAGCACCGAGCGAGCCGCCTGGAGGTGGGTGCGCCGCGCCGCTGCGGCCGGCGGCGGAGGGCGCAGGGCGGAAGCGGAGGTGGGCCGCGGACGCGGCGGGGGAGGGCTCGGCCGTCTGGGCGGCCCGGGAGGAGGGGGATGCGGGCGCGCGCCTGAGCGGAGGAGGGGCGGCGGCGGGACGCGCGTCCCCACCCCCTCCTTCCCGCGGGCGGCGGCCGGGCCCGCGCCCCCTCCCCGCACTGGGGCTGCCTGCCGGGCACTGGCTGGGGGGCGGGGCGGGCGGCTGCCGGAGTGTTTTCAGTTCCGCCTCCAATCGCCCATTCCCCTCTCCCCTCCCAGCCCCTCATCCCATTCGGAAGAGGAAGGAACAAAAGGTCCCGGACCCCCGGCTCTGACGGGGCGGGACCCGGAGCCTCGGTCCAGGTAAACGGCGGCGCCCGGCGGACCCTTGGGGCTGGGGGTGTGCTGGTGTCGGGCTCGGGTCGGTGTGGCTCGCCGCGTCACATGGCCACGGGGCTGGGGGCTGGGGTGTGGTGCGGTCGGGGCCGCGGTGCGCCCGGCCCTCGGGGTGCGGGAGCGCGGGGCCAGGCAGGCCGAGGGAAGGGTCGGTGCCCGGAGCTGCCCGCCGGGCCGGGGCGGGGTGGCTGCGGCCGTTCCCCTCCGCCGCGGACGCGCTTGATAGTTTGTGGTTCAGATTTTCAAAGCCGGAGGGGCAGAGTTGTTTCGGGAGTTGCTGGGAAGCGGTGTTAGGAGCGTGCGATACTTCGCTTCCACTTTCTTTATTTTTTGGTCCTGTAACCTTTGTTAACCATTATAGTCTTGGGGTTCTGAACTGTTTGTGTACACTCTCCCACAAACACGGCTGATACTCGTGAAAGTTACTCTGAGTTGGAGCCTGTTAGTTTTTAACATTAGTCTTTAGAAAGCAAGCTAATTGATTTCACGTATTTCAAACTTGGTTTTCAAATTGCAACTTTGTTTTGTTCTCTCCTGGAGGATACTGTTGTGTTGGGGACTTTTGTCTTTTACTTACTTAACCCAGATGCGGTTATGATTTTCTTTCCTAAACCGAAGAAAAACAATACCTAGGTTGGTTTTATCGTTCCTTTTGACCCTTTAAAAGCTGAGTATTACCGGCTTGTTGTCAACTAAACCTTTATTTAGAAAACCATCTCCAGGTAAAACGAATTTGGAAGTAGCGTTTCCCATAAAAGCTATTCTTGTTGGTTACAGTTTGGAGTATCCTAAGTTTTGGTGTTTTAAACTTTTTAAAAGACATATTTTTGCCTAAGTGGTTAGGCACACTTACTTGGAGTAATTCCATCTTTTCAAAAATGGTCCTTGAAATTTGAATTTCCAGAGTTGTGAATGATTATATAATCTTGGTTTTCATTTTCTTTTCTCATTTCATATGAGTTGAACCTGTACTAATTGTAAGGATGGTTTCCTTGAGCCTGATAATACATTTGCTACTACCCTGAAAATTAATTTGCCATTTTCTAGTTTGACCCCCTTTAAAAGAGAGTTTTCCTACGTAGAAGTGTAAGTCATATAGTTAAATGAAGTTTGAGGGGTTTTAATGTGAATAAAGTGAAGCAAATATAACACAAGGGAGAAATAATGTAAAATGGGTTTCATAAGTGATCGTAGTTTGAGGACTTTTTTTCATTTGCCTAAAAAAAATAGAGAATATTGAATTTTCTCTACCAAAAGTCATTTAACAAACATCTTAAATTTGTAAAGTAACATTTTATTTCTAAAATTCCCTAGTTTTTTATGTAAAATAATAAGAATTTAATTTCCATTTAATAAATAAGAATATTTCAAGTCCGTGGACATTTCTAAGGTGAGTGCCAACTTACACACACTCTTAATGTTAAAATTGAGTTTAAAGTAGTTAATTGGCCAGTTTTAATGTAGTGTGATTGGAAGCATCCATTTCTGGGCTCGTTTTAGTAAGAAATTGCTTTAAAGCTTGTTTTATACTTTTAAGGTATACCTTCTGAGCTGATGTCGTCACATTGTGAGTGTTCAACAAAAGTTCGGTTTTTCAAGGTAACAACTGTACCTTATCATACCTAAGTGGTCAAATCTCCATACAATCTGTAAGGTTCATGAAATAATAGTCTTGTAAGAAACTGTGCAGAGTAATTTCCTGTTGTTTGCGGCAGGTCAGATCTGGTATGTGTTTTAACTCTTAAGTTAGAATTTAGGGATGGTTTTCTGTATTACAGCAGAAATTCTGTATAATAGGAACTAAGGTTGTTTCTACTTGATGGTAAAAGGTGCATTTATCATATTCGTATTGTAAATATTAGAACCATGTTGCTATAATCTTGTTATTACACATTGGGAGAAAATATGTGAATGGAAAACAGTTTAGCTGCATAACCTGCTTATCAAAGAGCTATTGATTTTTTACATTTTGCAAATATTTTCAGTTTTATAAAGCTCTCCTTATTCTTGTGTGGTTTTGATTCTGTTTTGTACTTTAGGACTCCAAAGGCCTCGTTTTGTAGCATCTTTTTAATACAGGTGTTTTTGTAATGCATATAAAAGCTGTATGTAGTGCAGTCTGGCAGATGGAGGTTTATTCATATTCTTGGGACAAGAGTCATTTTTAGAGGATGGAGAGGGGCATATATCTTTTAGAGTTTTTTGTTCTTTGGTGGGAATAGAAGAGCCAATTTTAAGCTCTTAGTTTCTGTAGCAGGAAAGATGTTTTCCATTAAGTATTTGAAATTGAGAATGTGAAATATAAAGATTTCAAAACCAATTCAGGAGAGGTTATGCATCTATTCAACAAAAAACTTGTATTTATTGAACAAATAGTGTTTTATTCATTTATTCAACAAATAAAATAGCATTTGCTGTGTGTCAGGCCCTGGACTAGGCATTAAAGTATCTAACAGGGAACCAGTATGCCCCTCTTCCTTAATGGAATTACAGAAGTAGAAACTCCTCAAGAATCTCCTGCCCTGTCCTCTAGGGCTTAGAGTCAGAAAAAAAAAAAATGTTATTGTGCAAATTGAGGGAGCTTGTAATACATTACTGAGCCAGTTCCTAAAATATGCTTATACTGCTTTCTGAAACGTAGGAAACAGCCCTAGGGAAGATGTCAGGTGTCAACCTGAAGTGTCCCTGAGAACATTCAGTGTATTTTGGTGGGGAATTGTACAGACTGAAGATGTGACCAAGCTTTCAGAAACGTATTTGTTGCTGAACAGATCAACACTATGAGAGGTGCTCTTAATTTGGTCTTGGATTGATTATCCATTTTCTTTTAGTTCTAAAAACTGGCTGGGGAAAGAAAGAAAACCTGAATCAGGTTCCAATGAAAGAATCAGAATTAAAGTGTAAAAACAATTAGCTAAACTGAGAATAGGGATTGGGCCACAGTCTCATGTTGGAAAGGCCCTGTGTTTTGGAGTTAGAGACCTTGGCTGATAGTTGGTTTCTCAGTTACTATATTGGTCAAATTCCTTACCTCCCAAGCTTTGGTTTTCTGCCTGGAAAGGGAGGCAATAACACCTACCTTTTAAGATTATTATAGGATTAAATGGTTGTGATTAAAGTACCTAGGACATTGCCTCATATATAAGGGTCCTAGTGTGGCTTTCAACTTTCTTTCTAATCCAGATGATTTACCTGCATTCTTATCCTTGAGAACCTGACAGTAAAAAAGGCGCAGGGTAGCCAAATTGTCCAAGTCCATACCTTAAAGCTTTAGTCATAGGAGAACCATTGAGAACTTTAATAAGAACATATTGGCATTTATTACAAATGTTTCTGACAAGCAAAGTTATCTGGCTTCTAAACACATAGATTAGAAACAAATAGACTGTGGGTAATGCGGGAGGTTAGGGGGACTGTAGTGGGGGGTGGGGTAGGAGGACGGGGAACTGTTAGCCTACTGTTAATTGTAAGAAAAACAGATAACAGCCTGGTGAGGGTGATAGAGATAATCTACAAGACACAGAAACAAATATTCAGAGTCTAAGTAGTGTGTCTGGGGCCATTCAGTGCAGGACCAGACCTGAAAGCATAGTAATGAATGTTCATCAATTAGCTTAAATCGTGTTTGGGAATTTAAGAGTGTGGTAATCTACATAATATACTTTAGATTGTCATTCAGGATGATTAAAAAATGTTTTTAAAGGGGTAGAACATTGTGCCATATCAAATAACTTGTTCCATGGAGGATCCACAGTACATACTATGACCAAGATGTTTCTCATTTGTTTTGCCAGAATCCAGACTGAAAAATCTTTTTCATGCTAGGCCAGTAGTAAAGAAAGGTGATCTAAATGGTGTAGTACCTACCCCATGCCACACCTTTCCTTTAGAGTAAGTCAATGTTTTGTCAGCTTACAGGGGTGTCATGACTCAGGCTTTAAGATAAGAAGAGTGCTAGAGATTTCCAGGACCCAACAAGTGTGGATGGTTGGTTAGTCTTTTGAGGTCTTCTTGCCTCTAATATGTGAATTCTATTCAATATAAGCCTTGATAATCTTTTTGGGTCCTTCTTTCTACCTCAGAGTTAACCTCCTAAACCATCTCCTCCATCATATATTAATTTATGACCTTATATTACACAGGCTTACTAGTTTTTTAAAAAACAGGATTTTTTTTAAACCAGAAGTAAAAAAGTAGTGCAGCCTTTTTCATTTAAAATGTACAGTTTGATGCTTGCTTCTTGTCTGTGATCAGTTTTGATATTTTCTCCAGATCCATGTAATTTCAGTGTATTCAGTTAGGACACAGTTCAGTGCTGACTCTGGATCTACATCTCAGATGAGCTTTTAGCTTCAATTTTCTCTTCAAGTAGTTTCATGTAGGGAGTATGTAATTTTGCCAAGTCAGATGGATTTAGGCACTGCCTCTGGTTTGGCCAGCGAGTCAGAAATATTAGGGTAATTCTGTGACTAACATACTTGCCTTATATTCTAGAATGAATGGGTTCCTCTTACATGTAGCTGAGCCACATTGATAGGACAGGTGCCTGATCATTTAGATCTGTTTTGAGGTTTGTACCCTTAAGAAAACAAACTGTAAAGTGATTTATTCTCATTAAAATTTGTGAGTTTACTGTGAAATTGTCACTAACTCATCCAGGTAGTTCTGTAATTTTTCAAAATCTGGAATTTGGCCTTGAGACTAGAGCATTGGGGAGAGTAGACTTTAATTGTGAACTATTCAGTACTCATGTCCAGTTTGCATCTGAAAACCTCATTTCCTTGAATAATCTACAGTATCCTACCCCTACCTCCCGTCCCTTTTTGGGGGAAGGGCATAGTTTCAGGTTTAATGTATTCTGTAAATAGAAGAATAATCGTGTTGGACCAGTTTCTGGAAGTTCATTTAGTCTTTCAGTTACAAAAAAAAAATCTGAGGAAGTAGTATAGCAAATCTGTGATCTTGTA